CGAAGTTCCCAAGCGCTTTCGTGTAATTCACATCTTCAGGGGTGAGTACAGACTAGAGAGAGTAATACAAATCAAGGTGTATATATACAGAGGAGGGTGAGACCAGGTCCACAATGGTCAGGTATTAGGTAATGACCCTACTAATCTTTAAATAGCACACAACGGTTGGTGGTCAGGTCAGATGGTCAAGTGACCCGGCCTTCTCACCTGATCACAAATCTTCTTAATTACAAAATTGTCCAGCTTGTACATGCCGTTACTCAAATTCATGTTGAATGCTTCGGTATGTTTAATAAGACTAGATTCTATGATGTTCCTACTGTCAATTGACTTACATGGTAATATTGAGGAGGCATTATCCCAGTCAATGCAATGCTTGTTATCCCTCAAATGAACAAACAGAGCATTGGATTCCTGGCCTGTCCTAACACTGTATTTGTGTTGTTTAATTCTAGTTGCAAGATCTTTACCTGTCTGGCCTAAGTAAAACATATTACATTCCTTGCAAGGAACTTTATAAATGCAACCAATTGTGTTGTTGGGGGAGTTCTTGATTAACATTTGTTTAACAGTGCATGAGTTTTTAAATGCCACATTGACGTTCCAGGTTTTTAGCTGTGCAGGAATGTGTGAGAAATTTTTTGTGAAATGGTAATATTAAGATATTCTTATGGTCATGGGTGGGCTTGGGGTCAGTTCTATAAAAAGTTTTCTTAGTAATGTTTAAGCATTTGTCTATGAAAGATCTAGGGTATTTAAGGTTTGAGCCAATATTATATATATATTTGTATTCCTCATCGATGAATTCCGGACTGCAAATTCTCAAGGCACGTAAAAACATTGTTGAAAATACTGACTGTTTGACTTTATTATGGTGGGCAGAATAATAATGAATGTATGAACACACATTAGTTGGTTTTCTATAAATACTGAACTTAAAAGTGTTACCTATTCTGTGTATCAGACAGTCTAGGAATGGCAATTTACAGTCTTGCTCTAATTCCACAGTGAATTTGATCGAGGGGGCTAAGTTGTTAAGTTGTGGTAGGAAAGCTTTTAGGTCCTCATTACATGGCCAGAGACATAATACATCATCAACATATCTAAACCAGACTGCTGAGGGTGGTAAAATATTACTTAATAGTTTCTTTTCAAAGAATTCCATATATAGGTTGCTTAATACAGGTGAGAGTGGATTACCCATTGCCATACCAAATTTTTGAGCATAATATTCCCCATTGAATTCGAATTTGCAATCCTTAATACATAGTTTGATGAGTTCGATGAAGTCGTCTTTCGAGACGGGCAGTGAAATGTTATCCAGGGAATCTATGAGGAACTCTAGTAAATCATCAACTGGGACCTTTGTAAAGAGTGACGTTACATCAAAGCTGACCAGTTTAAAATCATGATTAATGTGTAAGTTATTGAGTTTATCAACCAGATCCATATTATTCTTGATATTGGAGTTAGAAATGTTGCCAACTAGGGGATTTAGTAAAGAAACTAACCATTTAGATAGTTTATAAGAGATTGACCCAACTGAGCTAATGATGGGTCTTGCTAGGTTATTGGGCTTGTGGGTCTTGATTACACCGTACATGTATGGCAGTGGAGGGGACGTTGAAGTAAGATGTTTAATGAGCGTAGCTTTGCCTCTCAATAGGGACTTCAGTTTTTTGTTGAACTGGGTGTTGACAGTGTTGAGAGGATTATTTATAAGTTTAGAATATGTTGTGGTATCACATAAGAGGTCATTCATTTTAGAGATATAGTCATCTTTGTTTAAGATCACTACTGTGTTGGCTTTATCTGCTTTAGTGACATGTAGATCCTTATTTTTCTTAAGGGCTTGGATTGCTTTGGTGAATCTTTCTGGACAGTTTGGAACACAAGGCTTGGACATAGATGCATACACAACACCTTTACACATGTTCACTTCTTCACTTGTCAAATTACTGAATTTCTCCAAATTGCAAAATGCTCTGGCTATGTCAACACTGTCGACTCCCTTGTTAGAACCATCAAAACTTAAACCATAGCCGAGGGCACACAAGGTATCATTGTCTAGTTGTTTCGAGGAGAGATTCACTACACAGTTGTTATTGGCATCCTTAGTCCAATCACTATTTCTAATAAGGAGTGCCAATTTGTGGTCTATCTTGGCTTGAAGATCAGAACGCTCACGTCTCAGGTTATCAAAACAGTAGTCTAACATGAACTTTTTCCAATAGCTCGGTATGGTCATATTAAAAGCGCGCTTTTTTTTGTCTTACAATACGGAAGGCTTCATCCACTTCAATTTTCTTTATTTCAAAATGTTTCTTAAGGATGATTTCTTGGAACTCATCAAAGGGGCGGTCAGACATCTTCAGGACACGTTGTGGTAGGATTGATCTAGGCATAACTTTTTCACTGAGGCATGTCTGGAGAAATTTCAAACGTATTTTCAATTTGTGGGCCTTGATCATCGAAGAGGAGTATTCAGTAACGAAAGGAGACAGTCCAGGACAGCTTGTAGAGAAGATGAAGAAGTGGCGCGTGGAATCCATTTATGCAAGTAAATCACTGTAGGTGCGCGTGATCTAGGTATTAAACTAGAATTAAACAACACAAATACAGTGTTAGGACAGGCCAGGAATCCAATGCTCTGTTTGTTCATTTGAGGGATAACAAGCATTGCATTGACTGGGATAATGCCTCCTCAATATTACCATGTAAGTCAATTGACAGTAGGAACATCATAGAATCTAGTCTTATTAAACATACCGAAGCATTCAACATGAATTTGAGTAACGGCATGTACAAGCTGGACAATTTTGTAATTAAGAAGATTTGTGATCAGGTGAGAAGGCCGGGTCACTTGACCATCTGACCTGACCACCAACCGTTGTGTGCTATTTAAAGATTAGTAGGGTCATTACCTAATACCTGACCATTGTGGACCTGGTCTCACCCTCCTCTGTATATATACACCTTGATTTGTATTACTCTCTCTAGTCTGTACTCACCCCTGAAGATGTGAATTACACGAAAGCGCTTGGGAACTTCGTGTTTTCTTCTTTCTTTCCTTATGATATATATATATATATATATATATATAATCGACGACCTCACCAGCCAGGACTCGAGCCCTGGACCTAATGCATGGGACCAGGGAACGCTACCGACCATACCACAAGAGCACTAAAAGCAGTTCTAGACTATGTGATATTTCACACAAAGCCTGTATGGATATATATATTATATACTGTAAAAGATAATTGTCGACTAAACCTTAAAAATCAGCTGAAATTTGTTCCTAATCGGTAACTTTTTGTTTTATTGCCATAATTCAATGAAAACTTATTCTTATAATTATAAATTTTGCTCTGTTTCATTTAAGGCGTCGTTTGGTATTATAAGAGAACAAAATTATACCAAAAGAGGATTAGGTAAGGTTAAGGTAGGATAGGTTAAGTCAGGTTACGTTTGGTTTTGCATTAAAACTATGCATTGATGCGTATTTCTTTCGATCTACATGATCGTATATGGCCATTCAATAGTTTCAAGAAGATAAAAACAAACAAGTTATCTCTAATCGGCGATTATTCCGATTTAGTGTAACACACACAAGACAATTAAATCGTCAAGGTACAAGTCATAACAAAACATTTGAGCATAGGAACATAAGAAAATAAGGAGTCTGCAAAAGGCCGGTTGGCCTGTACATGGCAGCTCCTGTCGAGAGTTACTACCACTCTCTATCATCCATGAATCTATCTAGCTTCCCTTTGAAACTTTCCAGCATTCCAGCACTTACTACATAGATGCTAAGCTTGTTCCACTCGTCCACCACCCTATTTGTGAACCAGTTCCTTCCTATCTCCCTCCTAAACCTAAACTTATCCAACTTAAATCCGTTGCTCCGAGTCCTATCCTGCTCGGATATTATAAGAACTTTATCTATATATAAATATTTCCTTACCTATGGTGACAAGACTGAATCTTGAATCCTGGTCCCGAAGCTACTGTAGGTGAGTGTTGACAGCGTAAGGTGGAGCGGCATATTGAGGCGGATACTTCACCCACTGCTGGTATATATTGGCCAGCCATGACAGAGCAAATGTCAATAGGCTACTCGACCTCATCAAATAGTCTTATTCACTCACATGCACACACACATACACCCTAGCACGCAGACAAACACGTAAATATTTAAATATGTCCACGAAAAACTTGTAAATGAACGCAAATACGAGCAAGTTTAAGCACATATTTAAGAATAGGGTAGTTAGTCATAAATGCTCTTTCTTTTTAGACAAATTTACATGCTTATGAATCTTCACTTAATGTTACTAAAGTGACACAATTTATTGTTTCAAAGTTTCAATATTCCAAGCAACAAAACGTTCCATAGTCAACTCCTTGATAAGTGTGTAAAACAAAGATATGTGAGCGTAAGAGCCTTAAGAATGACCCCGGTACAATACGTCCTTCAGATACCACCGATAACGTAACTGTAGCGTAGTTGAAAACTTATAGCTCTTTCTAACTTACTCAACAAGATTGATGGAATAAGCACCGAAGTTACATGCAAAAAGAACTGTAACCATCACCCATGAACATTTGAGGGATGTATTAGGTTTTTGAAAGATAAATTTCCTGAAACCTCACCACTCAAGATTAACACCAGAGGATGACTTTAATTCACATGCTCTTTGAACTGAATAATATCGATCTAATCAACGTTTTTTTCCCCATCTGTTGATGGGGGAGAAGACCTGGTGCACAACGTCTTGTCTCATGAAATAAGTGACCGGTGACTCTAATGTTGACCTATTGCATACAGTTAGGTGCACGACGTTATCCTGGCGATACAACAGCGAATGTTAACTAGTTCTACAAATCACGTGCCTTAAAGATGTCCATTAACGACTGTGATTTTGACTAACTCAATCAGACCTTGCCCCACGTAAATATTTTCTCTTTCAAAGCCTGAAGTCCATTCTCTGATAAAGTCCATAGGATGATGAGGAGCTGAAGTAGGCAACTGAGGCGTAGTTTGAGGAAAAAATTTCTAGTGTATGTGACTGACAAGTGAGATTGAACGCCAAGTGAAGTATGTTGAAGTCATGAAGATTGGATTGAAAATGAAGAAGGAGTTTTGCTTCTAACTTTTTATTATATACTAAACTAAAATTAATTGTACACGTGTGTGTTACATACCATATAAATATAGGTTGAAATTTAAGTACTGAGGCATATATCGATTTACATGATTCTTATGTCAGTCACTCGATGATGATATCATGTACACCAGTGTCTGTGGGACTTAAGATGAACACTGAAAATCTCCATGAGCAAGACCAGTAGACCAGTGACATGCCCGCCGACGAGAACCACGAACATACCCTGGAAAATAAAATAGTCTTATATCTCGTATGTCTTTTTTAAATCAATGTTGGTATTGCAGCAATAGCGTATTAATTATTGTGCGTAGGGAATATATAGTAATAATAATTATAAGCAAGTTGGCACTGTTTGCATTCTGGATAGATGCACCTGGATCCTAGTGTTAGTTTCTCGACACGTTGTCTTTCTTTAGGAACTACTACTACTGCTATTATTATTATTATTATTATTATTATTATTATTATTATTATTATTATTATTATTATTATTATTATTATTATTATTATTATCATTATTATCATTATTATTATCATCACCATGATGATGATGATGATGATGATGATGATGATGATGATGATGATCATGATGATGATCATGATGATGATCATGATGATGATGATGATCATGATCATGATCATGATCATCATCATTATTATCATTATTATCATTATCTTACCCAGAGGTTGGATGTTGAGAGCGATGAGTTTATAGTAATTTTTGTAGGAGGGAACTCGCAGTTTGTTGAGTTGGGACCCGAGTACCTGGACCAGTATAAGTATAAACCATGTTCCGTTAAGTCCATTATCCTGTAACATATATCAAATTAGTGATACATATATACTGTATATATATATATATATATATATATATATATATATATATATATATATATATATATATATATATATATATATATATTAGGGTGGTCCAAAACTATATGGTAAAAAATATAAGTAGTAATATATTGCCTCCACAAGCCTTAAAATTGTCCATTTGGTTCATAGATAAGGTCTGTAAAATTTTATCCATATTCATTAACATTTAGAGGTCAATCCATTTTGCATATTATACTTGTAGTGTAGGACTGAATTTTCTTGTCTGCATGATACAGTCTTAATATACACAACACATTATATTGGGTATATTTCAATGTATATAGCCTAGTTGCCTATTTGGAAAGGGCAAAGAGTCAAGTATTGAGTCATAGGGACTGACAATGACAGGTTGAAACAGGAAACACAGACAAGGGTTACCATTAATCAGATGAAGTTACTTATTTCATTTATATCTCATCAGTTCTACAATTATTTCATTATCAATCTAAATAGTATATTATGCAGGTTTCCATCTTGTGTCATGGCATATGAATGACAGGCAATTATTACCTGTGAGAAATAATTAGACTTAGTTACAGATTTTGTAAGGATGTTGGCAACACTGATCTGGTTCCAGTGAGTGCGCAGGTCTGAGCCACTTTGGCAGCTCCTCAGTTGAGTTACAACCTCTGCAGGAGAAGGTGTGTATTTGCAAAGTCTAACATTATGTTATTGGTTCTTTTTGTTTGTGTATTCTCCTGTTTGTATGTGGTTTGTGGTGTCCTGTACTATTATTTTCATTGATCACCGGAATGGCTGTTTTTTGTCAATATGTTTTGTTGTTAGTCTTGTTGTTCAATGTTTGGGCATAAGGTTTACAACTGAATCATTTGTGCTGTAAATGAAGCATTCCATAGTAAACATTCCATAGTTTTAAATTCAAGAAACACTTATTTTACTATCATAAGTGTAAGAAAAACATATCCATATCCTTTTGTTTGTTGCTACAAATTTTCTATATAAATTTCATATGTAGAGTATCAGTACACTTGAGTGGATGATCATGTTCACAGATGGCAGCTATTGGATTTTCCTGCCAATGATATTAGCCTTGTTTCATTTTCTTTGTTTGTGTATTGGTAATGAGTATTTTAAAGTTTCTTTCATTTGTGCGAGATAATTAATCAGCTAACTCTCTCTTTCTCACTCAGGTACAATGGCTACAACGAGATCACATCCGAGGTTCTGGCTCCTGGGCAATTCATCAGGAAGTTTATCCATGTCAAGGCTGCCTACAAGTAAAGATGCCCTACTAATGGTGCAACATTTTCACATAAATGAGGCACAAACCATTACCGTGAGTTTAAACAAAGCATGTCTGAAAGTTAAGGAAGTTTGGGATCATGCTCATATCCCAACACAACGGGTAGATTCTTGTGCCCGTAAGCTTTCAAAGTTATATCATCAGTACCAGATGCTCAAAGTTAACCGGAATAGACAGCGTGAGAGTGACATAATGAAAGAACAAGTGTTCCAAGCTGATATTGAGAAGCTATTTGATATTGCCACGAAAGATGCAATGATGACAATGGTTAATTTGGAGGACAAGAAATTCCTCACTATGCAGCGGGAAAGTGTTCTTGAGTAAGGATCCCAAAACATGGAAAGACGATGAAGTGTTTATCACAATGAGAGATCGTGCGATAAATATGAAGGTGGTGAATGACAGCGCAGAGAGGGCAATTGCTCTCATAGAGCGTTATAATGAGTCTATAACGCAAAATGAGGACCAAAAGCAGTACCTTTTACAGGTTGTTGCAGCTCATCGCAAGAAGTTACCAACGGCAAGCAAAGCTGCTATGATGAAGGGATACAAATAAAGAATGTGTATTGGTGTTCTAGAGTTATTTAGTTTGTAATTTGTAAAACTTATAATTGTATTTTGTTGAATAAAGACAATGTGTTTATAATGTGTTTATCTAGCCCCGAAAAATCCTTATTACGTACTAAATGGAAAAAAAGAGGACATTGGATTGACCTCTAAATATGCTTTAAATGATCCAATTTTTTTCTGGGATGCATTTTGTACCTAATCGACAAAAATAAACCTTGTGGAGAAAACGTATACAAATATGTGATATTTTGGACCACCCTAATATATATATATATATATATATATATATATATATATATATATATATATATATATATATATATATATATATATATATATATATATATAAATAACTATGCTCTTGTAAACATATACATAGGAATTATCAATTTCTTCCTATTTTACTGAATTACAAAAACAATCTGAGCATCTAAAAGTCAGTCATGGAAATTAGGAAAATACTGATTTAAGAAATGAAATTACAGTTAACTTTCCGTTGGGTTAACTTACAATATAACAGCCTAAATATACTATTGATGATTTTTCCTTAATATATAGATAATTCATAAAAAAATACACTCTAATTATTTTATTGCACTTTGTTCCTTGAACCTAAGTGAGAAAACTGTTGATAAAGAAAAAATTGCAAATAAATTAACGTATTCAAGCGCACCCCCCCCCCCACACACACTATTACTACTACTACTACTACTTTGCTGTCACTCGGAGTCGAGTATGACGATCATCCAGCTAGGAGACAATGATATGAGTTATAAAGGATATCACCTCCGTTGGTGAGTCGTAAGTTGACCAAAGAAGCCAATACAGGAACGGCAGGGTCGTTTACAGTTGTTGCACATGGGAGGGGGGCTACATCTAGTGCTGGAGGGGCGGCGGCAGCGTGTTTCAGGCGTTGATGATTGTCTGCCTCGTTATGCAGTCGGGCTAACTCGAAAGTATTGACACCTTCTTGTGTGGTGATCCTCCAAGCGTTATGGTGTGGAGTAATCGTGACCCAGGTGAGGGGAACGATTTAGCAATTTTTCAGGTTTGTCTTAAGACTATCCCTACACCTTTTCAGTTGCCAACCAGCGTTACGTTTACTATTCATTAGGGACTGTAAAGTAGCTGTTTTGGTTCTCTGCTGTCGTTTATGCGGGTAACATGGCCAGTCCGACGTAGTTGTTCATAGATAATGGTAGCCTCGATGCCCCTACAGTCAGCGAGAATACCGGCATTTGTTCTCTTGTCTTCCCAGCGAACTCGGTGGATGGAACGTAGACTACGTTGGTGAAAGTTTTCAAGTGCCTTGAGGTGCCTCCTGTATGTGACCCATGACTCGCTGCCATATAACAGGGTAGGGAGGACCACTGCTCGATATACGTGCAACTGTGTAGATAATTTCAGCTCCCTACAGCTGGAGAGACGGGTACGGAGTTTGCCAAAAGCTTGAGAAGTACATCTGATCCAATATTGAACCTCTTCATCGATGTCCGTGGTGGTGAACAGTTGGGATCCGAGCCGAAAGTGGGTAGCATTAGAGAGGGTAGTATCGTTAAGCTTGATGGATGGTGGAGGTGTAGCTGAACCAAGGGCAGGCTGAAAGAGAATCTGAGTCTGCATCTGCTTACGTTTTCAGGATCTCCTGTAGGTCACGTTCAGTGTGAGCGACAAGGGTGAGGTCGTCTGTGTACTGAAGTTTAGTAATGGAAGCTGCCGACACCTTTGTTCCACACGCACACACACACACACACACACACACATGCAAGATTATTCTCTCCCCTTCCTACTCCACATATCAAGAAGCGCTCAACACACTGACCCTTTCGACTCTCACTGACCATCACCACGACCTCATCTGCAAATTTGGTAAGAAGCTTCTACACCATCCTCGACACCGGCTCCTACTACCATCTGAGATCCCTAGCCCGAGAATTGCTGTTCGACACCACAACCGCATCCAGCCCATATGTGCACGAACTGATCGCTATAAGAACAGCCCAGTCCCAACCATTGTAAAAATTATCAATAACTTGTAATAAACCAGTGTATTCACTCCCAGTAAATACTACTTCTTGCACTGTCACTGTGTTGAAATGCACTGTAGTTTGAGCTT